CAAGTATTTTCTGCTTCTATCAACTTTCTGTACTCGACTGAAAAGCCTACGTGTTAGGCGAAACGTTTCGAATAAAGAACCTAACTGTTGCATATGTGTCTTACCTAACAATCTGTCGGATTTTATACCATTTTAATGTTCATTCTGTCAGACACTGCAACAAAAGGGGTATCTTGGTACAGACCACAACTTCGACCTCTACTAGTGAGAACGGCGGGGTTTTGAGAGGGACCTGCCCCCCAAAGCAACCTACGTCTCACCTCCTGGCACTATATAAAGGCTCCATCCTGTCATTCAACTTCATATTGTTTCAGACAACGGAACAAAGCTCTTCTCCAGACTGAGGGACTGACCACCTCAAACTTTAAGGGTGATGGACTGATTACATCGTCTTAAAGTATCTTCTGCTTCTATCAACTTTTCTGTACTCGACTGAAGAAGCCTACTGTGTAGGCGAAACGTTTCGAAATAAAGATACCTAACTGTTGCATATGTGTCTTACCAACAATCTGTCGGTATTTTATACCATTTTAATGTTCATTCTGCCCAGACACTGCAACACAAGGTATCTTGGTACAGACCATCAACTTCGACCTCTACTATGAGAACGGCGGGGTTTGAGAGGGACCTGCCCTCCCAACGCAACCTACGTCTCACCTCCTGGCACTATAAAAAAGGCTCCATCCTGTCACTTCAACTTCATATTGTTTCAGACAACGGAACAAACTCTTCTCCAACTGAGGGACTGACCACCTCAAAACTTAAGGGTGATGGACTGATTACATCGTCTCAAGTATCTTCTGCTTCTATCAACTTTCTGACTCACTGAAGAACCTACTGTGTAGGCGAAAACGTTTCGAAAAAAAGATACCTAACTGTTGCATATGTGTCTTACCTAACAATCTGTCGGTATTTTATACCAATTTTAATGTTCATTCTGTCAGACACTGCAACACAAGGGTATTTTGGGTACAGACCATCAATTTCCCGACCCTCTACTAGTGAGAACGGCTGGGTTGAGAGGACCTGCCCTCCCAAAGCAACCTACGTCTCACCTCCTTGGCACTATATAAAGGCTCCACCCTGCCCTTTCAACTTCATATTGTTTCAGACAACGGAACAAAGCTCTTCTCCAGACTGAGGACTGACCACCTCAAAACTTTAAGGTGAGACTGATTACATCGTCTTCAAGTATTTTCTGCTTCTATCAACTTTTCTGTACTCGACTGAAGAAGCCTACTGTGTAGGCGAAACGTTTCGAAATAAAGATACCTAACTGTTGCATATGTGTCTTACCTAACAATCTGTCGTTATTTTAAAACCATTTTAATGTTCATTCTGTCAGACACTGCAACACAAGGGTATCTTGGGTACAGACCATCAATTTTCGACCTCTAAGTGAGAACGGCTGGGTTTGAGAGGGACCTGCCCTCCCAAAGCAACCTACTCTCACCTCCTGGCACTATATAAAGGCTCCATCCTGTCACTTCAAACTTCATATTGTTTCAGACAACGGAACAAAGCTCTTCTCCAGACTGAGGGACTGACCACCTCAAAACTTTAAGGGTGATGGACTGATTACATCGTCTTCAAGTATCTTCTGTTTCTATCAACTTTTTCTGTACTCGACTGGAAGAAGCCTACTGTGTAGGCGAAACTTTTCGAAAAAGATACCTAACTGTTTGCATATGTGTCCTTACCTAACAATCTGTGGGTATTTTATACCATTTTAATGTTCATTCTGCAGACACTGCAACAAAAGGGGTTATCTTGGTACAGACCATCAACTTCGACCTCTACTAGTTGAGAACGGCTTTTTTTGAGGGGGACCTCCCTCCCAAAGCACCAAACGTCTCACCTCCTGGCACTATATAAAGGGCCCATCCTTCACTTCAACTTCATATTTTTTTCAGACAACGAACAAAGCTCTTCTCCAACTGAGGACTGACCACCTCAAAATTTTTAAAGGGGTGATGACTGATTACATCGTCTTCAAGTATCTTCTGCTTCTATCAACTTTTCTGTACTCGACTGAAGAGCCTACTGTGGTAGGCGAAACGTTTCGAAATAAAGATACCTAACTGTTGCATATGTGTCTTACCTAACAATCTGTCGGTATTTTAACCATTTTAATGTTCATTCTGTCAGACACTGCAACACAAGGGTATCCTTGGTACAGACCATCAACTTCGACCTCTACTATGAGAACGGCTGGGTTTGAGAGGACCTGCCCCCCCAAAGCAACCTACTCCACCTCTGGCACTATATAAAGGCTCCATCCTGTCACTTCAACTTCATATTGTTTCAGACAACGGAACAAAGCTCTTCTCCAGACTGAGGGACTGACCACCTCAAAACTTTAAGGTGATGGACTGATTAAACATCGTCTTCAAGTATCTTCTCTTCTATCAACTTTTCTGTACTTGACTGAAAAAAGCCTACTGTGTAGGCGAAACGTTTCGAAATAAAGATACCTAACTGTTGCATATGTGTCTTACCTAACAATCTGTCGGTATTTTATACCATTTTAATGTTCATTCTGTCAGACACTGCAACACAATCGTATCTTGGTACAGACCATCAATTTCGACCTCTACTATGGAAACGGCGGGGTTTTGAGAGGGACCTGCCCTCCCAAAGCAACCTACGTCTCACCTCCTGGCACTATATAAAGGCTCCATCCTGTCACTTCAACTTCATATTGTTTCAGACAACGGAACAAAGCTCTTCTCCAGACTGAGGGACTGACCACCTCAAAACTTTAAGGGTGATGGACTGATTACATCGTCTTCAAGTATCTTCTGCTTCTATCAACTTTTCTGTACTCGACTGAAGAAGCCTACTGTGTAGGCGAAACGTTTCGAAATAAAGATACCTAACTGTTGCATATGTGTCTTACCTAACAATCTTCTGCTTCTATCAACTTTTCTGTACTTGACTGAAGAAGCCTACTGTGTAGGCGAAACGTTTCACAATAAAGATACCTAACTGTTGCATACGTGTCTTACCTAACAACCTGTCGGTATTTTATACCATTTTAATGTTCAATCTGTCAGACACTGCAACACAAGGGTATCTTGGTACAGACCTGCAATCAACTTCGACAACTTCCACTAGTGAGAGGGGCTGGATTTGAGAGGGACCTCTCAACATCTGAGTTCTTACCTCTCCTACGTCTCACCTCTTGGCGCTATTAAAGCTCCATCCTGTCACTTCTTCTCCATATTGTTTCATACTATGGAACAATGCTCTTCTCCAGACTGAGGGACTGACCACCTCAAAACTTTAAGGGTGATGGACTGATTACATCGTCTTCAAGTATCTTCTGCTTCTATCAACTTTTCTGTACTTGACTGAAGAAGCCTACTGTGTAGGCGAAACGTTTCACAATAAAGATACCTAACTGTTGCATACGTGTCTTACCTAACAACATTTCCAACCGTACCGAGGATCGAACCACGGACCTCAGTGTTTGGGCTGAGCACGCTATTAACGAGCTACGGTTAATAGCTTCTTTTAATGCTTCTACAACATTACTTTGATCAACTTTACCTTAGATCAACTTAGCCTTAGATCAACTTAGCCGTGTCCAAGGGAAAACAACCCAAAATTAGAACAAACGTCAACTTTCACATGAGAAGACCTAACTTACCCGAATTAATTATTCTCCGAGCAACCTGTCCGCCTCTCATCCCTCACCCCCTCTCATTGCGCAACCCCTTTCATCAAGCAACCCCTCTCATCAAGCAACCCCTCTCATCAAGCAACCCCTCTCACCACGTCCCCATTTCTCCACGTCCCATCACACCCTATTTTCTTCTCATCCCGCATCTCTCATCTGGTACCCCTCCTCTCTCACTCTGCCTCCCTGTTACCACGACCCACTCTTTCTGCTGGTATGGTAAAGAACAAACACAAGCGCCCTCACCCGAGTGCACACACACACACACACACACACACACACACACACACACACACGCACGCACGCACACACACACACACACACACACACACACACACACACACACACACACACACACACACACACACACGCACACACACACACACACACACACACACACACACACACACACACACACACACACACACACACACACACACACACACTGCAAACAGGCCAAATGTCTACCAACAAGCATCTTTAATAACTAGTAATTAACTATTAGAACACAAAGAGTAAAAGTAAACAGAGTTAAGGTAGAAGCTACCTCAGTGGAGAGCGCTGTTCCACAAGGTACAGTACTCATGACCCTCAGCATTTTCCTCATCCTGATATCTGACATTGACAAAGATGTGAACCATAGAACCGTGTCTTCCTTTGCAGGAGATACTAGAATTTGGAAGACAGTGTCATCCACTGAGGGCACTGTAAATCTCCAAGCGGTTATAAACCAAGTTTTCCACTGGGGAGTGGAAAGTAATGTTATGTTCACTGACGACAAATTTCAGTTACTGGCACAGTAAAGGAAAAGTTGAGACAAAAAGGAGTATAAAATAAATTCTATCTACACGATACAGAGGAAAACCAATGTGAAAGCTTAGGAATGATAATGTCAGAGGACCTCGTCTTCAAGGATCACAATAGCGTCGTTCTCGTAACTGCTAGAAAATTGATAGGGTGGATAATAAGAACTTTCAAAACAAGAGATGCCAAGCTAGTGATTATCCTTATTAAGTAACTTGTTCTCTCTTGGCAGGAATACTTCTGTACATTTACAGCCCAAGTCAAGACAGGTGGAATTAAAGATCATAAGACACAGCATTGCTTTCTGTGAAACTTTTCTATTAGAAGCCCCGTAGCTTATCGGTAGAGTGCTGGAACTGTTAATCTCGGGACCAGGGTTCCAGTATCCCGTCCACCTTTCTGTTTAAAGGCCGAATATTCAGAACACCCTTAAAATTTGGACTTTTCCCCAAATTTTTGTTACATATTAATAGGCTGATAGCTAACTAAAGTTCTAACCAACTAACTGACTCACCTGACGTCTTGTGGGTGATGTAAAGAATAGAACGGAAGGATGAACCAAGCTCACTTCGACTCCACGTCTTCGAGTTCTGACGACGAATGCGCCTACGACCGCACTTCCTGATGAACTGACAGAGATCCTCCTGTGAACGGTGGGAGAGACGGAAAACAGTACTGATTATTCACAATAACATATATGCATTAATATATAAAGGTTCTCATGTGGACGGTGAGGGAGAGAGAGAGGAACAGGAACAAGGTTTGACAAGAAATCTTTCTCTCTTTGTTTCTCTTTCCCAGAAACCAAATTGTAATCTTAGTATATGTAGATGATTTAGGGGACTCATGAGAAGGGTGTCGCATATATTTTATTAAGCATGATTTTCATTAATGCTTAGTACAGATGTATTTGTGTGGAAATACCAATGTATTTGTTTCTACAGCAACGAGAGTCATGTCAGTGGTGCCGCATCTTCAGTAATAGGTTCAGACTTTTTTATATAATATTTACGACGGTTCTAGCACTTCCTATTTCCTTCTTTTAATTTATTCCTCTCTTCTGCCATTTTATTGAAACAGAAAAGAAATCCGGTATCCCTATGGCTCCATTTTTCCTTATTTTATAGGCGTGTTATTTTGATATCCCTGTAGAAGATAACAAAAAATTAATCTATTCTCGTATCCTTTCACACTTGTATCATACAAGTTGTATGTGATATTATCTCGTACTTTTCCAGTTATCAGAAAGTGAGAGAATCTTCAGTATTTTCAGTTTTTCTTCGTGGCTCATTTATCTCTGGGATCCACCTTTGGGCTTTTTCCTATTCGATTCATGTATTTTTCTTCAGGTGTGGACGCCACACAGCTGGAGCTTATTTCACTCTTGTCAACAGATTATTCAGCAATTCACTCAGTCCTTGTCAACAAATACTTCAGCATCTCACCAAGTCCTAGTCAACAGATACTTCAGCATCTCACCAAGTCTAGTCAACAGATACTTCAGCATCTCACCAAGTCTAGTCAACAGATACTTCAGCATCTCACCAAGTCTAGTCAACAGATACTTCAGCATCTCACCATGCTAGCGTAGCCAGTATACAACATCCACTTCCTCACAATTTCATTTGTACGATCTACTGGTGACTATTTTATTTGTGTATTAATAACTACTAAACCCATTTCTCTGAATGATAGTCCCGAAATTTTGTTATTCGATTTATGTTCTTCATATGGTCTGATTTCTCTTTCTCCAATTTCCATTACATGGCATCTGTCAACGCTAAATTTCACCATTCATCACCCACTCCATTTGTTCAGATTATCTAAATTATCTTCTAAAGGAATAATCGTGTTTATTATATATTCTGCACAAATATCTTGTCACCAGCGAAGTAATTCGAAAATTTTTTTGTTATTTTTAGCAAGTCATTCATATAAATTAAAAAACATTATCCGACACATTATGATTCTCGTTGCTGCCAACATTTTCCCTGGAGGATATTTTTACTCTCATCGCTCCTGCATTTTATTCTCAAAGTCTTTCATCCATTTTATTAGTCTGTCTTTTATTTCTCGTAGGTTTTGAAGTTTGTAGACTAGTCGTGTGTGTGTGTGTGTGTGTGTGGTGTGTGTGTGTGTGTGTGTGTGTGTGTGTGTGTGTGTGTGTGTGTGTGTGTGTGTGTGTGTGTGTGTGCGCGCGCGCGTGTGTGTGCGTGTGTGTGTGTGTGTGTGTGTTGTAGTGTGTGTGTGTGTGTGTGTGTGTTGTGTTGTATGTGGTGTGTTGTGACGCGTGTGTGTGCGTTGTTAGTGTTGTGTGTGTGTGTGTATGTTTGTGTGTGTGTGTGTGTTGTGTGTGGTGTTGTGTGTGTGTGTGCTGTGTGTGCGCGCGTCGCGTTGTGTGTGTGTGTGTGCGTGTGTGCTGTGACTCACCTAGTTAGGTTGCGGGTCGATCCGAGCTCCTGGCCCCCTCTTCACTGATCGCTACTAAGTCACTTTTCCTGAAGCCGATACTTTATCATACTCTGCTTAAAGCTATGTTGGATCCTCCACGACAATCGCTTCCCAAACTATTTCCACTTTTTAGCTACTCTGTCTGAAGAAATACTTTCCAACATCCTGTGATTCATCTGTGTCTCAGCTCAACTGTGTCCCGTTGTTACTGTCTCGCATCTCTGGATTATCCTGTCTTTTCCACCTTGTCAATTCCTTCCAATTTGTTGTGTTGTGGTGTTTTTGTGTGTGTGTGTGTGTGTGTGTGTGTGTGTGTGTGTGTGTGTGTGTGTGTGTGTGTGTGTGTGTGGGTGTGGTGTGTGTGTGTGTGTGGTGTGTGTGTGTGTGTGTGTGTGTGTGTGCGCGCGCGTGTGTGTGCGTGTGTGTGTGTGTGTGTGTGTGTGTGTGTGTGTGTGTGTGTTGTGTGTGTGTGTGTGTGTGTGTGTGTGTGTGTGTGTGTGGCGTGTGTGTGCGGTGTGTGTGTGTGTGTGTGTGTGTTGTGTGTGTGTGTGTGTGTGTGTGTGTGTGTGTGTGTGTGTGTGTGTGTGTGTGTGTGTGTGCGCGCGCGCGCGTGTGTGTGGGTGTGTGTGCGTGTGTGCGTGTGTACTCACCTAGTTGAGGTTGCGGGGGTCGAGTCCGAGCTCCTGGCCCCGCCTCTTCACTGATCGCTACTAGGTCACTCTCCCTGAGCCGTGAGCTTTATCATACCTCTGCTTAAAGCTATGTATGGATCCTGCCTCCACTACATCGCTTCCCAAACTATTCCACTTACTGACTACTCTGTGGCTGAAGAAATACTTCCTAACATCCCTGTGATTCATCTGTGTCTTCAGCTTCCAACTGTGTCCCCTTGTTACTGTGTCCAATCTCTGGAACATCCTGTCTTTGTCCACCTTGTCAATTCCTCTCCAATTGTGTGTGTGTGTGTGTGTGTGTGTGTGTGTGTGTGTGTGTGTGTGTGTGTGTGTGTGTGTGTGTGTGTGTGTGTGTGTGTGTGTGTGTGTGTGTGTGTGGTGTGTCTGTGTGTGCATGTGTGTGTGTGTGGTGTGTGTGTGTGTGTGTGTGTGTGTTGGGTGTGTGTGTGTGTGTGTGTGTGTGTGTGTGTGTGTGTGTGTGTGTGGTGTGTGTGTGTGTGTGTGTGTGTGTGTGTGTGTGTGTGTGTGTGTGTGGGTGTGTGTTGTGTTTGTGTGTGTGTGTGTGTGTGTGTGTGTGTGTGTGTGTACTCACCTATTTGTGGTTGCAGAGGTCGAGTCTTAGCTCCTAGCCCCGCCTCTTCACCAGTTGCTACTGGGTCCTCTCTCTCCACGCTCCATGAACTTTATCAAACCTCGTCTTAAAACTATGTATGGTTCCTGCCTCCACTACGTCACTTTCCAGGCTATTCCACTGCCTGACAACTCTATGACTGAAGAAATACTTCCTAATATCTCTCTGACTCATCTGTGTCTTCAACTTCCAATTGTGACCTCTTGTTTCTGTGTCCCCTCCCTGAAACATCCTGTCTTTGTCCACCTTGTCTATTCCACGCATTGTTTTATATGTCGTTATCATGTCTCCCCTGATCCTTCTGTCCTCCAGTGTCGTCAGGCCGATTTCCCTTAACCTTTCTTCATAGGACATTCCCCTTAGATCTGGAACTAGCCTTGTCGCAAACCTTTGCACTTTCTCTAGTTTCTTGACGTGCTTTATCAAGTGCGGGCTCCAAACAGGTGCTGCATACTCCAGTATGGGCCTGACGTACACGGTGTACAGTGTCTTGAACGATTCCTTGCTAAGGTATCGGAACGTTGTTCTCAGGTTTGCCAGACGCTCATATGCAGCATCAGTTATCTAGTTGATGTGTGCTTCCAGAGACATGCTCGGTGTTATACTCACCCCAAGATCTTTCTCCTCGAGCGAGGTTTGCAGTCTTTGGCCACCTAGCCTATACTCTGCGGTCTTCTGTGCTCTTCCCCTATCTTCATGACTTTGCATTTGGCGAGATTAAATTCGAGAAGCCATTTGCTGGACCAGGTGTCCAGTCTGTCCAGGTCTCTTTGAAGTCCTGCCCGGTCCTCATCTGATTTAATTCTCCTCATTAACTTCACATCGTCTGCGAACAGTGACACTTCTGAGTCTAACCCTTCCATCATGTCGTTCACATATTCCAAAAATAGCACTGGTCCTAGGACCGACCCCTGTGGGAACCCGCTCGTCATAGGTGCCCACTGTGATACATCACTACGTACCGTGACTCGTTGTTGCCTCCCTGTCAGGTATTCTCTGATCCATTGCAGTGCCCTTCCTGTTATATGTGCCTGATCCTCTAGCTTCTGCACTAATCTCTTGTGAGGAACTGTGTCAAAGGCCTTCTTGCAGTCCAAGAAGATGCAATCAACCCGCCCCTCTCTCTCATGTCTTACTTCTGTTACTTTATCATAAAACTCCAGAAGATTTGTGACACAGGATTTGCCTTCCATGAATCCGTGCTGGTTGGCGTTTATACTCTTGTTCCGTTCCAGGTGCTCCACCACTCTTCTCCTGATAATCTCTATAACTTTGCATACTATACACGTCAATGACACAGATCTATAGTTTAGTGCCTCTTTTCTGTCTCCTTTTTTAAAAATGGGAACTACATTTGCCGTCTTCCATACCTCAGGTAGTTGCCCAGTTTCCAGGGACGTGTTGAAGATTGTGGTAAGTGGCACGCACAGCATATCCACTCCCTCTCTAAGAACCCATGGGGAGATGTCCGGTCCCATTGCCCTTGAGGTATCGATGTCCCTTAGCAGTTTCTTCACCTCCTCCTCATCTGTATGTATGTCGTCCAACACTTGTTGGTATATTCCTTACTGGTGTCCCCATCTGGTCTGTCCCCCCAGAGGCCTTCCTGTCTCCACTGTAAATACTTCTTTAAATCTCATGTTGAGCTCCTCACATACCTCTTGATCGTTTCTTGTGAGTTCTCCACCTTCTTTCCTCAGCTTTATCACCTGGTCTTTGACTGTTGTCTTCCTCCTAATGTGGCTATACAGCAGTTTCGGGTCAGATTTGCCTTTCGATGCTATGTCGTTTTTGTACTGTCGCTGGGCCTCCCTCCTTATCTGTGCATACTCGTTTCTGGCTCTTCTACAAATCTCCTTATTTTCCTGGGTCCTTTGCCTCCTGTACC